AACAACAACAACAACAACACCTTCCACAACAATAACAACTAGTTCACACCGCCCAACTGTTTCGTTTATTCAACCTCCTATTGTACATGAAGACACCTCATCATTACTTTCTAAACATGACATTTATATTCCACCAATAAATACTGACCAGACAAAAACAACAATTGAACCAAAAACGAATTCAATTGATCCAAGTATAAAACAAAGAAAAAAATTTTTTTTCATGAATATAATTAAATTTTCTCTTTAGATATTCTTGCAGCTATATTAGGTGGTATAGCAATAGCTATTTTCTCTGTAAATATTATCGTTTGTTATATATGTAAAAGGTAAATTTTATTTTTTCGAAATTTTCTTATTTTCATTTATATTCTTATTAGACGTACACAAAAACCATCAAAATGTAAAACTCCAAATGAATCTCAATCATCATTTACTCACGAAGAATTACAACGTAGTCTAATGCAACATCTATATCATGAACAAACTAATACGATATCATCAACATCGACATCATCATCATCATCTAAAAATTCACAATCGAAATCGAATGATACTTCTACAACAACAGCGAATGTTAATCTTTTACAATTATGTTCTCCACCGCATTCTTCAAATATTTCTCAGCCATATATGACTCGTTCAAATGCTGCTGCTACAGCATTATGTTTTCGTAATCCACATGTTGGTATACATAATAATGGTGATCCAGTTGATTATCATGTTTATGAAACTATACCACCAGACAATACTAATTATATGCTTTGTACTGCACATAGTGCCTTTAAACCTGTTCTTCAAGCGAATTCTCATTCGATTCGACCATTTCTTCCACGAACAAATATTCTTTATCATCCTCCAAATTCCTCGAAACAGTCTTATGATATATCATCATCATCAACTGCAACGAATTCTGCTGTTTTGATGCCTGTTTTTTGTCATCATCATCATTTATCACAGTGTTCAACAGGAACATTAAAACAACATATATCACCACATATTATTCCACCACCACCGATTACTACACAAGAACAGATCTATGCAGGTTCAGAGAGTATCGTATGAACAAATAATTTTTGGCATTAATACGGTGTTGTCAGATGATTTTAATAGCAAATAATAATAATATTACAGATCATAATCGTTCGCGAGTTGTTTTGCTTGTCTTTTATAACTGTACTTTTTCTTGTTGTTGTTGTTTTGCCAATAATTGCTCTCTTCTCTTTTTCGTTTTTGTTCTTTTGCGTTTATTCTCTATTTTTGTTACCGGTCCCATGTCCTCTGCAATAAAGATTATTCATCATGTCTCTTTTTTCTAATGAAAAATTTTCTTTTTTCAAATATTATCATATCATACAAATACCCAAAGAGAGTAAGTTCAAAACAAAAAATACAATATAAATTAATTATTGAATATGTTGTTGAGACTTGATAATGTTATTGATGGTAAATGAACAGTTAATGGTATGGAAGATGTTGTAGTATGATTCTGTATTTTTGATATTTCATTTGAACAAAGAAATATTTTTGTAAATGTTAATCCAGTAATAACACAAGCACTCAATGCTGACCGAAATAAATTCATATCAGCAATATCATACCTAATTAAAACACAATAAATTGACGATATTTACATATAAGAAAAGAAAAAAGAATTTTACCATTCATCTGTTGTATCATCAAAACATTCAACATTAGATATTGTAGTTAGACCATTGAATCCACCAATAGTAAATATAAGATCATCGAGAACCTATGATAAATATTCAATTAATATTAGTTTCATATTTGTACTTTATTACTTCAATTGCAAAATTGCTTCTTGGATGAAACATATCAGTGATTGTTCGCCAAGTATTCATTATTGGATTATATCTTTCACCTGTACTAAGACGTGATGTACCATTAAAACCACCAATAGCATATATTGAACCATGATAAGCAATAACACCTTTATAATATAAAATATAAACGAAAAGAAACAAATAATCGAACTAACTAACTAACTAACCAACACCACTTCGACGACTACGCATTGGTTGAATCATAGTCCATTGATTTGTAATCGGATTATAATATTCAGCTGTTTGTGAACATTCTTGTCCATCGAAACCACCACAAATATAAATTCGATCTTTATATACATAATAAAAATCCTTTATGAATATATATATATAATTTTACCATTCAGTGTACATGCTGAAGCATCACTTCGTTGTACATGCATTGGACAAATAGCTGACCATTGATTAGTTTCAGATAAATATTTTTCTGCTGTATTTTGTCGTACACGTCCATTAAAACCACCCATAGCATATAAGAAACCATTTAAATAAGCTATACTAACATAACATCGTCGTTCATTCATCGGTGCTATATCATTCCATACTCGATCAATTAGATGAAATGTACGACATGAACTAAAATATTCAGTACCATCAAAACCACCAATAATATACATTTTATCAGCAATTGTAATACAACCATGATAAGCACGTGGTGAAACTTTAGAATACAGTTTATTAAATTGATTACGAATAACAAGATTGAATACCTTGATCTGTAGAAATAATTGTCCATTTATCAGCTCGAACGTCATAAGCTTCTAGCATATTTGTTGCATTACCACCTGACCATCCACCAAAAGCAAAAATCATTTCATGTGGATGTCGAGGACGAATAAATGAACAATTAATATCATTATCCTACATAGATAAAAGATATTTATGATTGAAATTTTTGTTTTTACTCATACGATAAGTCCTTCATTATCTAATTTATATAACAATCTAAATGTTTCTCCAATGATTGGTTTACATTCATTATTATTTCTAATATACGAATGTTGTTTTATTTTATTAATAAATATTGATGATGAAATCAAACCAAGACGTAAATTACGAATCAATTGTACAATAAACTATTAATATAATCAAAAGATGTTTTCTTTTAATCAAAAGAATAAACAACAAACTGATTTTCGTTGTTCAATATTATAATCAATCCATTTGATACATGCATCAAATAGATTTTCTTCATTACGTACATTTAAATCATCATTCGTAATAAATTCAATAAGTTGTTCAATTGAAAGTTCAACAAATGTTTTACTTGTCTTTGTCATATTAATAAAATGATACCTTAATATAATATGGTTATCTCATATTGATTGACAATAAACTTACATTATATATTGATAAGTTGCATTGAATAATTTTATATCAGAATTTATTTTAGCAAAATTATATAAATGAAAAACATTTTCATCGTTTAAATTAAATATTAGATATTCACAACAATAATGAAATAAACTTGTCATTTGACATAATTTAGCTGCATCAATTAATTTAATAATATTATCTAATGTTAATATACATTTACGTGTATAAGCATAATCAAGTAATAATTCAAGTGTATCACATTCAATATCTAATTGTAAATATCGATTTTCACTTGTAAAAGCCATTCGAAAGTAGGGACTTACAGCTTTGAATGAAATTAAAAGAATTAATTTGTATGTATAAAATTACATACCAGCTAAAATAAATCGATGAACTGGATATTCAATGTACTCTTTGGTTAATATTATTGCATCGCATAAAAGATTATTTTTTCGTAATTCATTTAATATTTGACATGCTTCAATTGTAAATGCACATATTCGTTTTCTATCACCTGAATGTGCATTTAAATCTGTCATTGTTGATGATGATGCTAGTTTTCTTCGACTATCAATACGTGATTCACTTTTAGATCGTACTCGTTTTAACATTTTGTTGATCTCTATTATTAATTATCATTGATTCCATAAGATGAAAAAAAAGTTGAAAAATCTAATGGTCTCACACAGTTTATCGTCGATGAAAAAAAAAAGATGAAAATAGAAAAAAAAATAATTCAAGTTTTTCTATTCGAAATAGAGAAGCGCCGAGAGATTTTATTTTATATATTTTACATAGTATCAATTTCGTTTTTAATTATAATAGAATTATCTTCGTCAAACAGTGAATAATAACAGAATAGAATGACTAGCATGCGTGTACATACTCAACATATTTTCCTTCTTTCTTTTCGTTTTTCATAGAGTGTTTAAAAAATAAAGTTACTTATTGTTGCCGTTTTATAGCATAAAATAAATCATGTACCCTCTTTTCATTCTATTTTTTATCTTTTCTTCATCGAGGCACGTGTTAGTAAATACTTAATAATAGAAATAGAGCGTTAATATTCGTTCTCTATCCTTTCTTTGTTTCTGATAATACATATATCTGCCTATTTAAACATCAGTACCGGCTGTTAAAATAAAAGTTAGATAATAAGTTCAAAAATAACCATCATAGAAGTCTATTTTGCTCTTTACCTTGAAGTTGTAAATATTTTGAGAAGAACGAAAAATAGGTCATTTTTATTTTATTTTCATTGTAGTATTACAGGTTTCTTTTTTATTGTTCTTATTATTTAAAATGGATCGCATTCAATGTCCAATTTGTTTGGAAAATTTTTCTACTGAAAAAAAACCAATGATTATATGTTCAAATGGTCATTCTATGTGTCAAGGATGTTTCGATAATATAAAATCATCTGCAAGTCCAGAATGTTCTATATGTCGTACTAATTTATTACCAGTGCCTATTATTAATCGTGATATACTAGGTTTAATCGATGCTGTTTATGAAACAATGGCTGCTATACCAGTAATTAAAGCAGAAGAATTAATAATTGAACCAAAACCATTCGGATATGGTGGTAGTGCTGATGTATTTCGAGCACAATGGAATCGACAAACTGTAGTCATAAAACGTTTACGAACAGGTACGACTGATCCAAAACAATTATCGCAATTGAAAGGAGAAATAAGTATGCATGTTGGATTAAGACATCCATGTATTATTCCTTTATTTGGATATACAAGCAATGGTAATGGTAAAGAAATTGTTATGGAATATGCTGAACGTGGTTCATTAAATCAAAACTGGCAAAATGTTGATAAAACACAATTAATCAATTGGGCATTAGATATTATTGATGGTCTACAATATTTACATAGTCGAAAAATTTCACATAGGTATTTTAATGAAATATAATTATGTAGATTAAAAAATATATTTATTTAGAGATCTTAAACCTGAAAATATTCTTATTGCACAAGATAATCGTGCGAAATTATCGGATTTTGGAATGGCAAGAGTACTAGCAACAATTCAACATAATACATCAGGCAGTGGTACACCTGTTTGTATAAATTATATTCATTTAGAATTGTTTTTGCTTATGTACTGTATTATATTTAGAAATATACAGCTCCAGAATTATTCGACGCTGATATGAAATATGGTCCAGAAGTTGATATATATAGTTTATCAATGATTCTTTATGAAATGTTTTCAGGAAACGTAGCATTTGAAAATCTCAGTCCACATCAACTTCTTGTTGCTGTTTCTGTTCATCAAAAACGACCTACTTTTGAATCAACATTTCCTAAAAAACTTCAAAATACAATTGAACTTGGATGGTCACATGAAGCAAAAGATCGATGTAAACTCAATGATTTTCTTCAAGTTTTATTAGAAATGAAAAATCCATCAATATCATTACCAAATAATCAAATACCATCCATGGGAGAAACAATTCGTGTATCAATGTTTGAACAAGCTGATAATACTCAAATGAAATTATTAGATTATTCACCAATTATAGAAATGAAATGGGCAACTCAAAATGAACAAACAAAATTATTTATTGAAACAATGATAAAAGACATGCGTCAATCATCATCATTTGCAAAGATTTTTTCCGATACAATTCTTAATGCTATGTTACAAGTACCAAAACATTTATTTGTTGATATGGATATCTATAAAAAATTATCGAAAATTAATGATACTAACGAATGTCTTAAAGCAATTTATAAACCTTCAGGAGCATTACGTATTAGTGAAACACAAAATATGAGTTCAACAGAAATTACTTGTGCTCAATTAAGTTTCATACCAATGAATTCTGGTGATCGTGTTTTATTTCTTGGTGCTAAAGGTGGTTATATTCAAACTATAGCAGCTCAAATAGTTGGATTTCAAGGTCAAGTATGGATATGTTCACAAGATGATCAAGGTCTTAAACATGTTGAGAATGTTCTAAAAAATCATGTACCACCAATACTTCGACAAACAATTAAATGTGTTTTAGTTAATAATATTCAAAATGTTAATGAAATAAAAAAAGAATTAGAAAAACATTGTAAATCTATTGAACAATATTTCAATACAATTCATGTTTGTGGTGCTATTTCTCAAGATTCACTTGAATATTTTCAAGAATTTTTAAAAGTCGAAGGCGAAATCTTAGCACCGATTAATATTGATGAAAAAACTCAAAAATTTACTATTTTACATAAAACACGAAATGATATTTCCGGTCAAATTACTTTAAATAAACGAATTCTTAATGATTGGGGAATTATATTTGGTGCCGTTCTTTAACAAATTGAATATTTCATTTTTTTTACTTGTCAGTATTTATAAGTTTTTCAAATAATAACAAAAAATACACAAATTCCTTTGTTTGATTTTTTCAAATGTCTAAACATGAAAAAAAAGAAACTCCAATTGATTTATTTGAACTAAATTGTTTATTTTCTTTGTAAAATTTTTTCATCAATTTTTCCTAATGTTGTTCGATCATTTTGTACTAATTCAACAACATTTTTAATTCCTCGATGAATTTCTTGTAAAATATCTTTAATTTGTTCAATTTTTTCTTTATCAAAACGTAATGATTCATTCGAATTAAGTATTGATGACCATTGTATTGGAGCTAATAATGTTGGATTCATACGTATTTTCATAATTAAATCTTTTATACGAATATCTAATGGTGATTGAGAAAGACTTTGTAATGAATGAAGATTCGTCCATATTTGAATTTCAGTTGAAGTTAATTTTGGTTCATGTTGACGACGACGACATTCAAATTGAATTGTAGCCTTAAAAATATATAATAAGCAAAAAAAAAACGTTTATTTTGATTTAAATTTACTTTAAGAATTCGATGTGAATATTCAAGTAAACTAGTTTGATAACGTTTCATTGTTAAACGAAATACTTCACATTGATCTTTGACACCTCGTAATTGTTGACGAATATTCTCAAGTTGTTGTTTTTGATCTTCATGCTCAATAAATTGGCATTTCATACGATCACGTAATGCTATGAGAAAAAAAATATTCATTATTAGATACTAGTGTATTTGTCTAAAGATTACCTTTAACACCAACAAGTGGTACAGGTAGGAGTAATTGTGGTTTAGGATTTTCTTTTTTTGCTTGCTCCCATACGAATGCCGTTAGACCTAAATGATAATTGAATAAAATTTTACAAAAAACAAAATATGAACAAAAAATAAACCTGGTGGTATTGAATCAAGATATTGTTTATAATCTTGATCACTTAAATCAGTTCTTGCAAAAATTTGAACAATACCCATAGAATCTAAATGTGTTTTGTTTGGATTAGTTGGTTGTGCAAGTAATGTTGTTGTTTGTTGTTGTTGTTGTTGTGGTTGAAGATAATTAACAACATCAGATGCTTTCTGTTTTTTAATTAATAATGTTCCAGGTTGTTTTTCACTAACAACAATTAACATCTAAATAAAGATATATAGGTAATAGAAAATGATTTAATTCGATTTACTTGAGTACGATCATCAGCTAACGGTGAAATTCCTTCAAGTTCAATAATACAATTTGGATTATTATTAAAACAAAGACGATGAAGTGATTCAATACATTTATCTTTATCTCTTATAACATCAGCTAATTTTTGATTAATTATCAATGCAACAAGACCATCTTCATCACGAGTTTTTGGTCGTACACTGTAGGAATATGTCTAGTAGAATAAATACAATTATTTTATTTCATCAGAACAATTAAAATTATTTACTTTAAATACATGATAAGGTAAATTAACATCAACATCGTAGGTACCTAAGAGAAAAACAACAGTTACATAAATAATGTTTTCAATAACTCAATATCAATACCTTGATGACAAAATGTTTTACCAGTACCATAGAATACTTGTAGAATATTCCATTTAAGAAACAGTTCATCTCGATCATCATTAAATAAACGTGGTGAAGTTAATGATGTTATAAGTTTTTCATCTGGACGAACTACATTAGTTGTTGTAAGTGTTTGTTGAACTGGTGCAGCAGCAGTATTAGCACCGAATGGTTGTGATAAACCTAAAATGATTATATATTAATCGATTGAATCTTTTTAAATAATTAGTTATGAAATACTAACCTCCACCTAATGTAAATGTAGGAGCGGTTGTATTTGTTGCTGCTGTTCCAAATCCCAATGATCCGAAAGGAGCTGGCGCTGAAGTTGTAGTTGGTGCACCAAAAGTGAAGCCAGGTGTTGATGTAGCTGCTGGTGCACCAAATCCAGTAAAAGCTGGTCTTGCTGCTGTAGTTGCTGCAGTTGTTGATGTTGGAGCACCAAAGCTAAAGACTGGTGCAGCAGTGGAAGCTGGTGCGGCGAAACTAAACGGTGCAGTAGTTGTTGTTGTAGTCGCACCAAACATAGGAAGTGTAGATGCTGTTGTAGTAGGTGCTGGTGTACCGAATGTAAAAGGACTTGGAGTTGGTGCTGTGGTTGTTGTAGTATTTGCAGGTGTACCGAATAAAGTCGGTCTTGTCGCAGGAGGTGCACCAAATGTGAATGACATCTAAAACATTAAAATATGTGTATAGTTTATATATAAAAAAAGATAGAGATCGCAAATGTCTTCACAAGAATAATAATAATTGCATTGCCTATAAAAAAATGTTCCAGTTATACATAATATGATATGAACGAATCTTTTTTTTTTGAATATAAAATATGACACAATAAGAAAGTAAGATAGCTGAACAGAGAGTAAACCATTCTTATTCTTAAGCAATAATTATTAAAATGATTGGTGTTAATATTTAACCTGTTACATTATGACGCTTAGTGAGGTCGCTATAAAACTGTTTTTTTTTCATAAATATACAAATATAGACAAATATTCATTTCAGATTTAAATGGCTGAGTATTTTTTCAATAACTTTTAATAGACTATGACTATCGGTCTTCGAGTAGTTTCTCGAAGCTATTGAAAAAGTGATCGCAATCATTTAACTCTGAATTAACTAGATAGCAGACGAATCAAGACTCGTCTGCGAAATACGATGCGAAGCTTGATTTTGAAATAACGATTTTGAAGTTTTCACAAAATTCTCAATAGTCACGATTAAAGTAGAATAAAGTCAAATTTATATCATCAAAATCGAGAATTCAAATTATCATATGTTGCAAGAACACTGATAATTCATTTGTTAATTATTTAGCTAATTCATTATCAGTCATCAGCTGTAAAACATTTGTTAGAAAAAAGTGACGCCTAACTTTTTCTTTTGCTTTTCGTTTTAATTATTTCGAAACACAAAATTAGCCATAGAATCTCTTACTAATTCACGAGTAGCTAATTTAGGGTTGAATTATTCATTAGAAGCAATAAATAACTGTTATCAATATTGAATTGTTAATTTCGATTACTAATTGTAATTAATCTACTTAATATTAGTCAAATCGTATTATTAAGTCCGTCATTCTTTTTTGTTTATCTTCGTTGCAATATTAAATAGTAATAATCTTTTAGAAAAAGCAATACAAATAAGCAATAATATGTTCATATTGAATATATTATGATGAAATGTACATGATAGAAATAAAATCCTGTGATTGCAATAATACAGTTTTATTTTACATAAACTCACTTTCAACACACATTTAGAAAGATATTCGAGTAAAATGTTCGAAACTCAATGTGCTATATCATAAGTTTTTAAACTTTTGAATAATTCAATATGATGTGGTAGAGATAAAAATTACATTGTATCTTGTTTAGTTTTATTTGTTTTTAATTCAGACTTTGCTTGGAGAAAATGATCCTAAAATGGCTAATTTTTATTTTCAATGTCTCATATCTCATACTAGATAACGTTGAGCTATTACTCGAAATCCACTCATCTACATATTGCTATTCTTGATATTTGGAATTGATCGAAGTCATCTGGTTAAAATATTAGAAACGCACCGGGTTGTTCAAAAAAAACATCTCGATGCTCATCTAACAGGTTTTTTCTGGTTTACAATTATTAGTGTCGAGATTAGGATCGTCATTGATAGTGTATGTACGTATGATCAAAATAATCTATGCAAGTTAATACTAAAAAGTTATTTGAGTTGATAGATCATGTAATAATTAGTTCTATAACATCATGTTGGAAATTTAAAACAAATGTGCTTTTATCAATATCAAATAAAGGGGCGAAAAAGAAAAAGTCTATATATAACTAACAACAAACGACGTTATTTTAACATCTTTTATTTTCGCGGAGAGACACGACGGTTGTTATTGTAGATAAGATGTATGATATTTGGATGTATATTTCGCTTTAATTCTTTCGGGGAAAGATTGCAATATATGTTGTTAAATAAATTTAAAAACTCAGTTGACAGATAATAATATTCCAGTAATTAGAAAAGAATAGCGTGTAAAAAAGCTATCATTTTTTTTAAAAGTCTCTGCTAGAGTATCATCACTGTAAATAATTGTGAAATAATAGCTTTCATAAAGAGTATTACAAAAACTTAACAACCTGCAAATTTTATGTTTCGAAAAAAATGAAATCCTATCGATTAGACATAATTATTAAACTGAAAGGGATCCTTGAATATCACTACGATAGATATTTCTGATTTATTTTCATGGAATCGATTGTTAATGGTTAATAAATATCTCACATAATTATAAGTAAGTGTATATGAATATAATTCTTTATTAATCCGTCGATTACTTGCAAATTGTATTGTTTGTATTATTTTCATCTGCTAATCAATGTATATGTTGATAATCACTTATAGATGACTGTTTTAATCAACATCTACACTATCTATTCATTTCAAAAGATCCTTGAAAATATAATAAAATAAGAAAAATATAACTTGCGTAATATAATAGTACTTATCACGACAAATCTGTCAAGAAAAGAATCAAGTTCCTGTGGGTGTGGGTGAAGTTTGTTAACCATCTTCAGGATCGATGTGAGTGTGGGCGTAAATGTGAGATGGAAATAATACCCACGTCAACCCACACCCTTCTAGAATTTTCATATAATTTTACCTTTAGCCTGGTCCATATACATATACATATTATATAGATATTGTCTATACTTTCTTAACAATATTTTCATATAACGAGGTGCGCACTGAGCTGAACTCTAGAATTTTAGTAAAAATTACATATGAAATGATTCTATGTTGATATAGATGGAATTTTAAAATTGTCCCATAAATATATATGACATGATTTGGTATCAGTACATATGAAATTTTCGAGTAATTGAAATTCTAGAAAATAAGAATTAGCTGAATTTTAGAACAGATGGTGTCAGACTACACATAAAATTTCAGAATATACGAAATGTAGTATGAAGAAACAGAAAATGTACAATGTAGCTTTGAGGTTACTACCGTTATTATGAGGATCAAAGCACAAGGGTGTGGGTAAAGAAAACATGGATCCGCACCCACATCCACCATCAAGAATTTTAAAATAAAGCCACTGTTGCAAGTTTTTAATGTGCATTACTTACAAAGCAAATATGTGTTTTTTTGTTAGTGACGATATTGTCGCTTATCTGTGAAAAAGTTGGAAAGACTGAATTCTTTTTTCTGTTCTTTGTATTTATCTGGCTTTATAACACACATGAAATAATGCAAAGAACAAAGTTCTGCTGTAAACACTCAAAATAAATAAAAGAAGATAATCAATGACGTCATAAAAATATTGTGATAAAGAGATCTGATTCTCATATAAATAACGATATTCGTTTATTTTCTTAACCATTAATACTTCAGTTCTGCAACTACATACAGTTATCACTATATACGTATCATGGACCCGAAACCTTCAAAACCGAGCGTAAAATCATCTCATGAAGCAACAACGTCTTCTGTTCGTCAGTCACGACAACATAGGGCTTCAAATTACCTTCTCATCTGGGTAGATGCCAGCATTGACCAGGCAGACAAGGACTGTCAAAATACACTGTCTCAATTGAAGAATGTGGTCAACGATGTCAGCTTATGCACTGAACCGAATCAGTGCATTCAAGTACTCAAGACGATTGACAAGGAACGAGTCTTTGTTATAACATCCGGCTCGTTAGGTCAATGCTTGGTTTCTGAAATTCATAGCATGCCACCGTTAGATACCATTTACATCTTTTGTGGCAACAAATCCAGACATGAAGGATGGGTACAAAAATGGACAAAAATCAAAGGTGTCCATACAAATATCAAAGATATTTGTCAAGCATTACAAGTGGCGGTTAAACAATGTCACCAAGACACAATAGCCGTAAGCTTTCTTGCGGTAAATGAAATGGCTTCAACAGATAAATTAAATCAGTTGGAGCCAACTTTCATGTATACTCAACTATTCAAGGAGATTCTCCTTGATATCGAATATGATCGTAAGGCGATCAAGGACTTAGCAGCTTGTTGCCGTGAAGTCTTTACTGAAAATCCAACTGAATTAAAGACTATTAACGAATTCGAACGTGACTATCGTCCAGAAAAAGCAATCTGGTGGTATACACGTGAGTGTTTCACCTACAAAATGCTCAATCAAGCACTTCGACTTATGGATGCCGATATAATCATTAATATGGGCTTCTTTCTGCGTGATGTACATCAACAAATTCAACGGCTGCATGAACAACAAGTCAGTAGTTATGGAAGAAAATCTTTTAAAGTTTATCGAGGACAAGGTCTTATGAAATCAGACTTTGCCAAACTTCAGAAAGCAAAAGGTGGACTTATGTCATTTAACAATTTCTTGTCCACAAGTAAAGATAAAGAAGTGTCTCTCGAATTTGCTGGACGTGCTTCAACAGAGCCAAATAAGGTGGGCATTCTCTTTATAATGTCCATTGATCCTTGTACTAAGTCAACACCATTTGCCTGTATTACTGAACTTAGTTATTTCAAGGCACAAGAAGAAGAAATTCTCTTCTCAATGCACACTGTCTTTCGAGTGAATGCAATTAAACAAATGGACAATAAGAATGAACTTTATCAAGTTGAATTAGAATTAACGTCGGATGATGATGAACAACTACGATCACTTACTAATCGGATACGAGAAGAAACTGGTGATGGCACCGGATGGCAAAGATTGGGTAACTTATTGATTAAAAGCGGTCAATTTAATAAAGCAGAAGAACTTTATAACGTATTACTTGAACAAACATTTGATGAGAGTGAAAAAGCGCTATATTATATTTGTCTGGGATATGTCAGAAATCAGCAGGGTGATTATGAAAAAGCTATTTGTTATTATGAACAAGCACTTGAAATTCGACAAAAAACTCTTCCTTCCAATCATCCTCATTTGGCTACTTCATACAATAACATCGGTGTGGCGTATAACAGCATGGGAGAGTACTCGAAGGCGCTTTCATATTACGAAAAAGCACTTGAAATTTGGCAAAAAAGTCTTCCTTCAAATCATCCTTCATTGGCTACTTCATACAACAACATCGGTTTGGTGTTTCAAAAGATGGGAGAGTACTCGCAAGCACTTTCATATTACGAAAAAGCACTTGAAATTTGGCAAAAAACTCTTCCATCAAATCATCCTTTATTGGCTACTTCATACAACAACATCGCTGGTGTGTATGACGATATGGGAGATTACTCGAAAGCACTTTCATATTACGAAAAAGCACTTGAAATTTGTCAAAAAACTCTTCTTTCCAATCATCCTTTATTGGCTACTTCATACAACAACATCGGTAGTGTGTATAAGAACATGGGAGAGTACTCCACAGCACTTTCATATTATGAACGTGCTCTGGACATATGGCAACGTGCACTACCTCCAACTCATCCCAATATAAAAATTGTTAAGAACAATATTGAAATTGTAAAAAAGAACTTATAAAGAATATTTGATAAATAAAAGAACGATTTATTCACTTGTTTTTGAATTTTATTTTTTAGTAACTAGCGAACGCGGACATAGAGTAACTCTGTGAATAATAAAAACGTAATCGGCAAAGCCGACTGATAAGGTAGTACACATACGTATATATGTGTATAAATGACCCTCTCAGACATATTTACATTCCTAATTCTTTACGAGTGTGTTCCCTGTAACAAAAGAAGAATAACTTAGGTGGAATTAAATTGTAAGTGTTGAACGAGGCCTCGTATGGTGAAGGATAAGTTAAAAAACTGCAATATATATACCAGCATATCGTCAACACATGTTCTAATCGAATTAATCGATGAGTGTTCATTATTAATTAGAATGGAATGAAAAGAATAATCACTTCGTAATAATATATTGATCAATTTAGACGTATTGAATATATGATGAATTATAATTTACTTTTTAATGTAGAAAAGTTAGTTAAAGTCTTCTGATCTCGGATTCAAAGTAAGTGGGAAATTGTTCCAAGAAATATCTTACAATGATTTCTCATTTTTTCAATGCTCAACACATTTAGGTGTTTCGGAGAGGACACTGTAAGATACCGAGATAGATCAATTAAATTGAATGTATGCAAAAAGCAACTAATCTTGACAACAAAGAACATTCTAGATATTTATATTTAATAGAAATGATTAAATGTTATTCTCTACTTCTATAATCTGATATCAAAGATAAACAATAATCAATAGTCGTTTATGAAAAAAACGGAGATATACGACTATATTGTAATAAACAATGCAATAAATAACATTCTAGTTTTATCTATTTTGCATTACTGTGCTATTTTTCAGGTTACCGTCGTAGATCATGAAGGTAACTAAGTATTTTATTTATTTTACTTCATTTATAGAAGGTCATCTAAATTGATTTAATAGACAGTATGCATTTTTATTTTATTATGAGTCATTCATTTGATGAACAGTTGCAATATTTCTGTTTTGAAAAGCAAATATATCGATAAAGAGTGAAGGGATAGACAAAGAAAACAAATTCAATTGTGTCTATACTATATCAACCAGAGATAAGTTTGATCAATATTGTGATACATGTAGATATCGGTAATGTCAAGATCGATCTACATCCTGAAGAATTAGTCGAAATCAAGATAAGATTAGTCTTGTTCTAGATGATCTAAATTAATTTAAAGTGCTAAACTTAGCTGTTTAGATCATAGTCATAACGGTGAGTATTGAGTATGCTAACTGGAATCTAGTTTGAATGATTATTCAGATTCTGATAAAGTTTATATAATTAGTAGAGTTCATTGAATTAACTGTTTTCTTTTATGATCTGAATGACTAAGATAAACTCATCTAATGCCTTATTTCAACTTTTATTCGATTTTACATAAACAATAAAATTCAAAAGTAATTACTAATATATTTATTATAATTAATAAACTTAATCCTCTGTTTCTAGCAATAAAATTAAGAATGATCAAAGTCATTTGTATTTTATATTTTTATATATAAAATTACATGTATAGATGAATAACATATATTTTTTTTCTTGAAGAGTTGAACTTAACTACATGCTAAAAAAAGTAAACATGATGAAATTTCTTCTCATTCCTGATTATCTATTAACGAAATTTTAGTCATACATTCATAGTTAATATCTTCAAACTATTTCATATAAATAATATTTTGTCTTGACATACAAGATTACTTTATTTACAATTACAAGTTAAAAATAATATGCAATCTAAAAGTTGTTTTTCAAAATTAAATTAACTTCTGATGTTTTCATACAGAAAAAAAGATTCTATTTTTTAGATATGTACTTGATTGTATAATGTAATTATTTCAATAGATTACATCATCAGTCATCTTCTGTGTAATAAATAGTACCTTGAAAATCATTAAGATAATAGTCAGAATCAATAAAAAGATTCTTTCTATTCAATAATAGATTTTATGAAAAACAAGATTTCTTATTGTATTTATAATCTATTCCATTCCTTTAAAAATCTATAATATCTTTTTATGATGCACTTTATACGCGAAAATAGTCTGAAGAAATGCAAAATCAGATTTTCAAAGTGTTAATAGTCATCACTTGATGAATGAAAATGATAATAATGATGTAATGAAATAGTAAATACTAATTTGTAGTAGAAATAATGTTCATTAGCATTTTTCTATGTTAGTGATGAAGTAATAATAAATTCGAACAAAAGAATTATTTAACGATACTAACAACCAATATTAAACTAATAATTTTTGTTCCCTTGTTATTCAATAACATTCATTAAAACAATTCCACCATAGAAAAAAATAAATGATCTACTATCAAAAGTTCTTTAAATATTTTTATTTTTTTATTTATGTGGTCTTTGATATAACGTATGAAAATGAAAACTTAAATTAAAGCAAAGTTTGATGAATTTTACAGTAAGACTTAGTTAACAGTGGTAGCCGTCATATGATATATAAGTATGAATATTCTATCACAAATCTCCAAATGTGAAAAAAACAAAGTCCATAGTCAAAATGATGTTTTGCGACGCTTCCTGTAAACGAACTAAGCATGCTGTTCAAAATCGACAAACGAATAGTGTCAGTTCGATTATGATATATTCATCTCGTGTTTAAACGAATATCTTCTGATGTTCCGTTCCTGAAATAATCGCGATACTAAATGACAACTTTGAATATGTACGTCGAGAAAGAAAGACTAGATGGTATTCAAGTTGCACTCGGCTACGAAATGCGATGCGAAGCTCAATTTCGAGATAACGATTTTAAGGTTTTCACAAAATTCTCAACATTCACAATTGTAGGAGAATAAAACGAAATTTATGTTATCGAAAATTCAAATTATCATATGTTAAACGAACACTGATGATTACTTTTTTTAATTATCTAAATGATTCATTATCTATTATCCGCTGTAGTTTCAGCTGTAAACAATTGTTAGAGAAAAGCGGCGCCTAACTTTTGCTTTTGCTTTTCGTTTTTAATGCGATGCGAATAGCAGAAGCATTTATGTAGTCCTGCGCGAGTTTTCTTTTTTTTTTTAATGCGATGCGAATAGCAGAAGCATTTATGTAGTCCTGCGCGAGTTTTCTTTTTTAATGCGATGCGAATAGCAGAAGCATTTATGTAGTCCTGCGCGAGTTTTCTTCCTTTTTAATGCGATGCGAATAGCAGAAGCATTTATGTAGTCCTGCGCGAGTTTTCTTTTTGTTTTTCTTTCTTTCTCGACGTACGCATCAAAGTAGTCATTTTGTGTCATAATGATCTCAGTAATAGAACATCCTAAATTACTCATTTCAACGCAATAATAAAATATCGAGATCGAACTTATATGATTCGTTTTCCGATTTTCAACAAGATGTTTAGTTCGTTTACAGGAAGCGTCACAAAAACACGATTTTGACTTTTTCAAATTTCGAGATAATTAAAACGAAAAGTAAAAGCAAAAGTTAGGCGCCATTTTTCTTTAACAACTGTTTTACAGCTGATAATAGATAATGAATCATCTAGATAATGTTGTGAAAATCTTAAAATCGTTATTTCGAAATTCTGCTATTCGCATCGCATTTCGTAGTCGAGCACAACTCGAATACCTTCTAGTTAATGCGATGCGAATAGCAGAAGCATTTATGTAGTCCTGCGCGAGTTTTCTTTTTTTCTTTTTTTCTTACTTTCTCGACGTACGCATCAAAGTGGTCATTTTGAGTCACGATTATCTCAGCAATAGAACATCAGAAAATATTCGTTTAAACGCAATAATAAAATATCAAGATCGAACTGATATCATTCGTTTTCCAATTTTTAACAGGACTTTCAGTTCGTTTACAGGAAGCGTGACAAAAACACGATTTTGACTTTTTCAAAATTCGAGATAATTAAAACGAAAACTAAAAGCAAAAGTTAGGCGCCATTTTTGTTGAACAACTGTTTTCAAAGCTGAAACTACAGCTGATAATAGATAATGAATCATCTAGATAATATTATGAAAATCTTAAAATCGTTATTTCGAAAGCCTGCTATTCGCATCGCATTTCGTAGTCGAGTACAACTCGAATACCTTCTAGTTTTTTTTCTTACTTTCTCGACGTACGCATCAAAGTGGTCATTTTGTGTCACCATTATCTCAGCAATTGAACATCAGAAAATACTCGTTTAAACGCAATAATAAAATATCGAGATCGAACTTATATGATTCGTTTTCCGATTTTTAACAAGACGTTTAATTCGTTTACAGAAAGCGTCGAAAAAACACGATTTTGACTTTTTCAAATTTTGAGATAATTAAAACGAAAAGTAAAAGCAAAAGTTAGGCGCCATTTTTCTTTAACAACTGTTTTTACAGCTGAAACTACAGCTGATAATAGATAATGAATCATCTAGATAATATTATGAAAATCTTAAAATCGTTATTTCGAAAGCCTGCTATTCGCATCGCATTTCGTAGTCGAGTACAACTCGAATACCTTCTAGTAATTATCTCGAAATGTGAAAAAGTCAAAAACGTGTTTTTGTGACGCTTCGTGTAAACAAATAAAATATGCTGTTGAAAATCGGAAAACGAATAGTATTAGTATGATCTTGATATATTGATCTCACGTTTGAAAGAGTATTTTGTAACGTTCCGTTCTTGAGATCATCGTCACACAAAATGACCACTTTGAATGCGTACGCGAAGGACTACATAAATGCTTCTGCTTCGCGTCGCATTAAATATTTGTTTATTATGATTAGAAATTGGCAAATTATTCTATTTCAAAATAAAATTTTCATTTAGTATATTGCTGCTGTATAGATATATAAATAAATATATTTATATGTACTTTCAGTTTTTTCATAACTTGTTGTATAGAATACAATTATTTTTTAAACATCTATGAAGAAATACTGTTAATTTGTCTATTGTAATAAGTAGAAGCGCACCATAGTTTTTACTCTTTAATGGTTTTTCTTTGAAATTTTTTCAGAACATTGTATAAATATATCAATCATAATCTATTCTTCATCTAACTGATATTGATAATAGACTATAATTACCTCGAATATAGTAATAGAAAATTATCAGACATCTAGTAAGAATATATGACTTCTTTTTTTTGTCGAAAACTACTGATGCATTTAGTCCTGATTATACCACATATTAATAAATGCGTATTTGATACAATAATATTCATATCCTTTCAAAACATTTTTCTTGTGAATTACATTCGAAACCTTGCTGTACATTCACGAAAGAGTCCTGCCAAAGATTTGATATTTAGCAAAACCATCATCCCCCTAACTAAATACCAACAATGCTAAGTAAACCTAATCATCACAAAATAGCTAAAGTTTGAATACAAGCAGTTTTCTTTATTGTTTCTGTCAAAAACTATAACAGAAAAGAAAATACTCGCACGATCATTACACCCCCTTTATTTTCATTCTAAATACATTTAATATTGCCATTCATGGTCTTCTTTCTCTTTTATTCCGTACAAGTAATTCACCGATTACATGCACTGCATCATCGCCGATCGCATTGGCCTCGAGATATAGTGTGGTGAGTGTCTAGACAAAAACATGGAGGTACAAATATGGTATAGACAACGAAAGAATGACAATTACCGTGTTCTGTCGTAACGCATTACCCAAAGATTGTGCTCCAACATCTCCGAGTCGATTTCTCGAAAGTTCTAGTGTGGTTAGTGTCTAAACGAACAAGTGAAAATAAATATATGGTACAGATAAAAAGAGAATGAGAGTTACTATGTTGTGCTGTAATGCATCACCCAAAGATTCTACTCCCACATTTCCGATTTGGTTACCTTCTAGCTTTAGTGTGGTGAGTGTCTAGATGAAGAAGTGGAGGTACAGAGATGGCACAGATAAAGAGAGAACGACAGTTACTGTGTTGTATTTTAATGCATCCCCCAAAAAGTGTGCTCCAACATCTCCGAGTTGATTTACTGAGAGATTTAACCAGGTGAGTGTCTAGATGAACACATAGAAGTAAAGACGTTATATAAATAAAGAGACAATGAGAGTTACTGTGTTGTGTTTTAATGCATCACCCAAAAACTCTGCTCCTACATTTCCGATTTTGTTACCTTCGAGGTTCAGTGTGGTGAGTGTCTAGATGAAAAAGGAGAGGTAAATGCATGGTTCAGATAAAGCGAATAATACTGTTACTGTGTTGTGTTTTAATGCATTACCCAAAAACTCTGCTCCAACATTTCCGATTAGATTATAGACAAGCTTTAGTGTGGTGAGTGTCTAGATGAAAACTTGGAGGTAAAAAATGGCATAGATAAAGAGAAAATGAGAGTTACTGTGTTGTATTTTAATGCATCACCCAAAAACTGTGCTCCAACATCTCCGATTTGATTTTCCGAAAGATGTAATGTAGTGAGTGTCTAGATGAACAAGTGGAAGTAAAGACGTGGTATAGATAAAAGAAAATGAGAGTTACAGTGTTGTGACGCAATCCATTACCTAAGCCTTCTGCTCCAACGTCTTCGATTGCATTTCTTGAGAGATCTATTGTAGTGAGTGTCTAAAGGAAACAGTATAAATAAAGACATAGTATAGATGAGTAGAAAATGAAAGTTACGGTGTTGTCTTGTAATGCATAGCCAAAAGATTGTGCTCCAACATCTCCGATCTGATCATTCGAGACGTTTAATGTGGTGAGTATCTAGATGAAAAAGTAAAGGTAAAGACATGGTATGAATAAAGACATATTGAGAGGCACCGCGTTGTTTCGTAGTGCATTAGCAAAATATTGTGCCCCAAGAACTCCGATTTGATCCTTCGAGACGTTTAATGTGGTGAGCGTCTAGATGAAAACGTGGAGGTGAAAAATGGTATAGATAAAGAGAGAATGAGAGTTACTGTGTTGTATTTTAATGCATCACCCAGAAACTGTGCTCCAACATCTCCGATTTGATTTTCCGAGAGATTTAATGTGATGAGTGTCTAGATGGACATGTGAAGGTAAAGACGTAGTATAGATAAAAGAAAATAAGAGTTACAGTATTGTGCTGTAGTGCATTAGCCAAGGATTGAGCTCCAACATCTCTGATTTGATTATATCCGAGATCTAATGTGGTGAGTGTCTTGATGGACAAGTGAAGACAAATATATGGTACAGATAAAAAGAGAATGAGGGTTACTGTGTTGTGTTATAATGCATTACCCAGAGATTCTGCTCCATCATCTCCGATTTGATTTTTCCAGAGGTCTAATGTAGTTAGTGTCTAGATGAAAAAATGATTCTAAAGTTATAGCATACATAAAAGAAAATGAGAGTTACAGTATTGTGTTGTAGTGCATTAGCCAAGGATTTAGCTCCAACATCTCTGATTTGATTATATCCGAGATCTAATGTCGTGAGTGCCTAGATGAAAAAACGAAGGTAAAAACATGGTACAGATAAAAAGAGAATGAGAGTTACTTTGTTCTGTCGCAATCCATCACCTAAGTATGCTGCTCCATCATCTCCGATTTGATTTTTCCAGAGGTCTAGTGTAGTTAGTGTCTAGATGAAAAAATGATTCTGAAGTTATAGCATACATAAAAGAAAATGAGAGTTACAGTGTTGTGTTGTAATGCATTAGCCAAGGATTGTGCTTCAACATCTCTGATTTGATTATATTTGAGATCTAATGTGGTGAGTGCCTAGATGAAAAAATGAAGATAAAAACGTGGTTTAAAAAAAAAGAGAATGACTGTTACGGTGTTGTGTTTTAGCCCATTAACTAACAATTGTGTTCCAACATGTCGGATTAGGTTATATTCGAGAGTTAGTGTAGTGAGTTCCTAAATGAAAACGTGGAGGTAAAGAGATAGTAGAGATGAAGAGAGAGAATAGCTGGTCGTTGTTACATGAGGTTAAAGGACCGAAGCGAATGCTGTTTTGTGAAAATGTTGATTGAAAGGAAGTTACCAAGGTGAACTAGAGGTAGAAAGTTTCCGTCTGTGCGTTGCTCTTATTTTTAAATTTTTCGGTAAGAAGGAAAAAACTGTTGGCTAATGAGAAATAGTTTGTAACTCAGTTCTCTGCCAAGTAATTGTAAAGCGTAATATTATTTTGGTAAATGATACTGTATTGTAGTAAATGATTTACAGCGTAGTAAATTATGGTACAGCTCTTGTTAGTATTCTGTAGGTGTGGCAGAAGATAGTTTCTGATTAGCAGCTAATGAACGGTTTTTTCTCACGTTTATTATTCCGACACGATGTACGCTTTTGCAGCAGAACTCTGTGTGATTTATCGAACTTCACTTTACGAATGCGTATGATTTATATAAGAGAGAATATATATTGATTTCGATAGTTCCCATCGATGCAACCATACGGTTATGTTCATGAAGCAACATTGATTTTTGAAAAGTGAAAAATCAGTCAATTCATTCCGTAATGCTAGACTTATTATGAGTAGAAGACGAATGCACGTTAAAACGATGTTTAAAAAATATCGCTGACGAAGGATTCTCGAATAATCTGTATTGAGAAAGTGTGCTCCAAATGAAATCCGTTCGGACCAATTATTTTTGAAGAAAATTTGCTTCAGAAATGATATTCTTTGAAAAAATATTCCACCTTGTTGGTATTGGTATAAGTAATGTCATTAGATGAGAATATGAATGGTATTGTGGGTCAATCTTTTCTCAATCCACATCCGCCATCACCTGTACCCATAGTCGCGCATGCTCTTAAAGGAGTATTGATCGGAAGTATTTCTCATGAAAATATCGATAACGTTATTGATGATGAAATAAACTCGTTTATCAAAATTCAATTCCTTTCAAAAGTTGATTGTTATTATCAAAATGGTTCTTTTTTTGTCCTTATCTAAACATTACATGTTTATGATATCATACGTAGTTTGAAAGGTGGAATATTTAGATGAGATAGAAAAGAAAGAATAAAATTAATTTTAACGAGAGGCTAATAACTGATGAATTAGTTTAAGTGATAAATAATTTATTCATGTGTATTTTATCTAGGTCATTCTACTTAATTAGAGATTGTACGAATGAAAAGTAATTCGAGAGTCAATAGATACAAATTAGATTAGCATGATAGGAAGCAGTTTACCTGATACCGATCGTAGCTGTCTATGATGCTGTCGAATCGTTGACACACGTTTCTCATTGAACAGAGAATGGTGAAATCCGATTGATGATCCAAAATTCGGTAGAAAAGTTCCACCGGTAGTGTAAGGAAGTTGGCGACAGTTTGATTTGCCATTGTACACTATTGGTAAAGTGCGCGCTGT